GCGAGACACGTACGAGAAGAACAAGTTGGTCTACTGGTATGAAGGAAACCTGAAAGGCCGAAAAATGATCCTTGTACTGGGATTAAACAAGCTAGTGCAATGTCTTTGACTCGGCCCCCTTCTTCCTATACCATTAGGGTTTGCGGTCCGTATCGTGTTTGCCACAGCCAAGGAAGCGGAAGCGCACGACCACCACTGCAGAGTCCTCCGATGTCTCTGATGCTGACCCGCTGGATGTAGAACCTGGTTCTGAGTGGGGCATGAAGGAAATGGTTGAAACACCAGGCTCGTGTGTATGAGATATGTATTATATATGTTCTTTACTGCTACTGTTTCTGAACCAGTTGCATTCCTGATCTTTATTCCCCTGGCTAGATGATCGGGCTCTCACAGAGAAGGCTGAAAACTTGGCAGAAGAAAGCAAGGCCTTGAAAACGATCAGCTTTCCAGAGATGGATAGTGATGGCCTTCCATCTAGCTATGTTTGCAAAGTCCTTGCTTGTTTGGGCAAGTGGCAAACAAAGCTCATCGGTTTGGCTGAACCGCTTGATAGCAGGGATCCATCTTTGAAGCCGTTCCTCAGCTGATGCTTGCATGAGTGCCTGCACCCCTCTATTAAAGAAGGGCCCTTCTAGAGCCGCCCCACTGAGGCTGATCACTAAGGCAGATGATGTTTGCAAGTCGCTGGATTCATGTGCTGATCGAATCTCAGAAGTGAGTTCTGTGGGGATTGCCTCTGGCTACACGCATGTGTCCCTTGGCTACATGTGGAGTTGGTCTAAGGGGGTCACAGCTATCACAATGTGTATAAAACCAAATCGAGCTTACCCGCCGAGTGCCACCAGAGTACTCACTTTGTTTTGTCCATTCTTCTGAAACATTGAGACGGGTTATGTGTGTAAGCAACGCCAATCCCCTTTCTCTTAAAAGAGCCTTTCAAGTCACTTGATAGCCTTTCTTTCCAAGCATCCGTATCCGAATCCTTATATGGAAAATTACACAAGTGGTCATTTGGTCACTTGATCTCTTTCAAGCTGGCTGGCCTCCAATAGCAAAAAGCACATACATGTCACATCAATGAGTATTCTAATTTTGCTTCCGAAGCTTCTTCTCAACTCTGGTTGAACTGACAAGGCTTTAAATTGAAGGGGTGCCAAATGACCTAGCATATAGGATTTGAATCGGATTACTACTCTCCACGTGCCAACACCTGCCATTGAACAGTTTCTTCATTAGCCCCGTCAACACTTGAGGCAACAAGATGAACTCAAGAACATCTACATGGATTGCAAGAAAGGGCGCCGTGGCATCATTAGTTTGCTAGTTGAAGGTTGCCAACACCATGGCCGCAGTATGAGCTATGAGCAGTGTGTAACCTAAGCATGCCAAAGGCTACTTTGAACCCGACCCTGGCCCTACCCTTGAAGTTCTCGCGGCCAAGCCGGACCCAGGTGCCGAGAGGCATTGAACTTGATGAGCAGGGCCCAGCCTCGTGGCGCTGGGTTGGGTGTTTGGTTTTTGAAAAGGTGTTCAATGTGGATTCCTTCGTGTAATGCTACCACTGATTGAGCTCCATATTTCACGGAGGTTTGGTTTGAAAGGGTTCCAGCAACTGGCGTTGCCAACTTCCAAGGCCATTGGTGCGTTTCATGAAGCAACAGTCAGCCAAAGCCGCCAAGGAAGCGGACAAATCTAGAGTGAAAGTTGAGAAATAGTTGACTTATATTTCTTTGGGGGTTTGCATGTTGGAGTGTTTGGTCTGGAAACTGAAAAACCTTCCGTGCGACAGTCTTACAAGGTGTTTCTGGTGTTGGGTTCAACAGTCTTACCAGGTGTATATGGTGTTGGGATTCAGTCCAGCTCCTTCATGCTGATGGGTGTTAAATTCCCATCAATTTAGAAAGTCAATGGGGTTCAGTGCGTCGGGGAGCATGATCAGTGCTCTGAGTTTCATGCGCAGCAAGCTAAGCGCTTGTGAATGCATAATTGTGGCCTTGGGAAAAGTACTGTGCTGATTGCGTGTGTGCCCTCCCACTAACAGGCAGGCACCACAAATACTACTGCAAAACCAATAAGCCAATAAGCAAGCTTTGTTTAAGAAAGGGAGTGTCAACGTGTCGAACATGTGCTCTTGCGTGCTTGACAGTGCCCCCGGAGCTTGGCAAACAACAAGCAGATTTGGGATTGCCAGGTCCAGTTGAGGCTGGGCCCATTCTACGTCATACCATAGAAGCTGTGGCTGATGGGGTTCGTTGGCCTCAACATCAGCTCTGACAACTGCCAAATGTCCATTTGGATTGGGTCGTGGAATCTGACCCCCCTCAAGTTCTGCTTGGCCCCTCCAAGTAGTGGGTTTTTGGCAGATAATGCAGGACTTGAGGGGGTCAGATTTCATGCCCCAAGCCAAAGTGACTGACAACTCTCCTTCCGTCAGCCTGCTTGACCTCTATATAATCACCTATAAGGGTTTCTGTGGCCAAGGCGCCAATGCGCGTGCTGGCAGAGAAGACGAAAGCATTGGCAGATGAGCACGGGAAATCCTTTGCCAAGAATTCAATGGGCTCTCTCGGGTTGAGCGTTGCCAATGTGCCTGGTAGTGAAACGGCCTCTTACGGTATGGTTTCCCTTGTTGTTTTAAATTCGGGACTCGAGGGCGGAGGGATTTGAGGGCAGGGCTCAGTAGAGATTGCCAGTGTGTTTGGTAGCAAAATGTTTGCTAGTGTGGTTACTTGACATGGGGCCGAATAAAGGATTGCCACAAGTATACATGAGTTACTGCTTGACTTAGTATTGTTCCTACAGCTATGTATCCAATGGGGCCTGAGGCAAATCAAGCGTTCAGCCGAGTGGTATCCAAGTTTCACTTCACCCTCAAGATCCCGATTGCTACCTACGTGCATGCAGAGGGCCCGGCCACAGCTTCACTCCCGTACCACAGCCCGACACAGCTCTTGAGTGTTCTTTTGGAAAAGTACCCATGGCTGTTGATGGGTGGATGTGATCAAGAAGAGTGTTGCCGCCAGTTGCTGCTTGCATTTTGGGACTGCTATGAGCAAGAGCACCCAGAACATGAAATCTTCAAACAGAAAAACTGCGACCGGTTGGGAAAGACAATCCCCTTAACAATGCATGGGGACGGTGGCCGGACCCAGAAAAAGCAGCCCTTAGAGATTTGCAGTTTGCAGCCAGTCCTTGGGCTGAACAGCGCAAGCTGTGCAAGCGTGAGTTGCCATTGCCCAACCTCAGTGAAGCATGGCTCTGGCCAATTTGGTGACCCGCTGCGTCAATGCTTGAACAGCAAACACAACAAGTACATGACTCATTTTTTGCTGTTTGCATATCCATCAAAGAGCTACAAGGATTTTGCAAATCTACTTCATGGGTTGCTTCAGTGTGTTTGTGATGACCTCGCTGAAGTTTGCAAATCCGGTATCAAAACAGCTGGTGGTCGCCACTACTACTTTGCCAGTGTAGGCTTCAAGCTGGACATGGAATGGATGGCGAAGATAGGCTCCTTAACAAGGAGCTATCAGAACGTTGGCCATGTCAACCAAATCCCTTGCTGCCACGAGTGCGATGCAGGGGCGCATAATGTGCACTTCGAGGATGTGAATCCCAATGCGCGTTGGATTGCCACAAGGTTTGCAACACTACCTTGGGTGAGATCTCCTCCGTGGTCAAAGATTCCTTTTGATTCACGCAGGCCTGCCAAATTCCTGAGACGTGACGCTTTCCATGTGTTTCGACTAGGGATCGGAAGGAACTTCCTGGCTTCGTGCATCATGTTGATGTGTTTCATGGGCTGTCCCTTGCACGGTAACTTGAAAGAGTTTTCTGTGTAATTAATATCTGTGTTTAGTCAGTTAGGTTTCTCAAACGGTCCCTCTAATGAAAGGAGCATACAGATCATACAGGTTCTTTGTATGGCCAAGCCAGCCTAGGCTTTCCAGACCCAGATGGTGGAAATAGCACAGCGGATTGTTTGAAGCGTGCCTTCGGAAACCTATCCTTGTTTTGCTTTGTTAACAAGCTACACCTAGGTGGAATCAGGGGATTCACGCCTGCCAACTTCCATGCAGAAAAGTCTGCATTCCCGTGGGTTGGGTGCAAAGGCTCCGACACCGTGGTGATTTTGAAGTGGTTGGCCTTCCTGCTCAAGCTTCACCTTCAAGAGAGCTCCTGGTCCGCGACTGACCAACAGGTCCTTGAGTGGATGTTACAAGGGGCAACATGTGCCCTCATGTTCACACAAGGAATCCATCGCCACGGTGTATGGTTGACCCGTTCATGTGCTGTGCATTTGCGGCGTGCTGTGCAAAAGTTCGGAGGAGCATACGCGCAATTGGCCCAACACAGCCTTAGGTTGGGGTATTGCTTGTTTGGCATGGTGCCCAAATTGCATGCCTATATGCACTTCCGGACGGATCTGGATGATATGCTGAAGGATGCTGAACGCAACTTTGCTCTCAACCCTGCAGTCTTTGACAATTCAATGAGTGAAGATTTCATTGGGCGTGTAGCCCGCCAATCATGTAGATTGAGTTTCAAAAACATTGAACGCACAATCCTTCAGGCTTACCAAATCAAAGCCAAGTTTTGCTTGGACAAGTTCTCAAAGAACAAGTCTCTAAGGCCAGGACGCCAGATCAAGAACAGTGGTAGCTGAGTGATCAAAAAACAGCTGCAGGGCTGGGGGGCAGAGGCGTTTCTTGCAATTCGCAGGCTGAAATCTTTTGGAGGGGTTGTTTCTGCAATCCACAGCAGTAGAGGCAGAAAAAATGCAAGGAGCATGATGTAGGTATATATATATATATATCATCGATCATCCGCATTACGTATAGTCCATAGCGGAGGTCCTTTAAGTAACTTAAACGCGACTTCAGACCGGTGGGATGCAGAAAATCTGACCGGTGCGGTGATCAACCCACCTTTAGGGTGACTTCAACCCACCGTGCCTCGTCGGTCGTCGATCCGATCCACCGGTGCGGTTGGGGCTTCAGGACGCTCAGCTGGACTCGCTTCAGGTCCCCAGCCACTTGCTGAAGGAAGCCTTCGATGGAGGCGACGCGGCCGGCTTCGTGGATGGCGAACAGAGGTGGAGCTGAGCAAGACAAGGTCCAAGTAGACACGCCAGGGCCGCGTAAGCGTACGCTATACCGCGGCTGCGGTATGTGTGCACGGTGTGGTGGTGTGGTATGCGGCTGTGGGTGCGGCACGTGCGGGTTTTTGTGGGTGAATTCAGCATGTAGTCCCATTATATGTTGTGTTCATCGCATGTGTTTCTTTTTCACACTGTATCTTGTACGTGTTGTGTTTTTTTGAACATGGGTTCCAAGCCTTTCTTGCATGTTTGTCGCTGGCATTTGGGTGTCGGGAGTGAACTAGCCAACCAGTAGATAGTAGATGCATCCAAGTGCATCGCACATCTGTTTTAAGCAACAGCAGGTCCAAATGTGTGGATATATTAATATAGGCATCCCTGCCCTCCAATAGGCACCTCTTCGGAATACACTCCAAACCGAGTTCATGTTTTCTCACCGCGATTGCTCCGCTCCGCCCACCATCCCGGGCCCCGCCATCATCTCTCCAGTGTGGTTTGGGAGCCTCATGGAGCATGGTCATGGTGTCCGCCTGAGGTCGGGGGTTCCTCAGTGGGAAACTGACCAAAGCCTGCAACTTCAGAGTCTTTGGGGGGGGGATCAGAACTGTGATGTTGGCCTCACATCTTCAGGATCGAAACCAACAGAAACAACAGTGGAGAACCTGAATTGAGAAATAAACAGATACTGTAATGGCATAGAATATAGAACATTATCGAACTATAAAAGTCTGCTATAATGTAGTATGTTATTGTTATATATTATATATATACTTGAGATCCTCTAATTCAAGCACATACAACGACCTCCAACGACCTCCCCCCAAACAAGACCTCTGGAGGCTTGAGCCTCGACCTGGCGACGCGCACATCGCTGGCCACGAAGACCTTCACCGCGGGCTACGGCAAGACGAGCTACGGCGCTGTGGGGCTCAGCCGCGCCGGGCCGCTCCTCTACGACGCGGCTCCTCTCCCTCCGGAGCGCAGGCTGGTGGCGGAGCACCTTGGCTTAGTGAGGTTGGATGAACACAATCTAATTAAAGTCTCCAATGCCCAAGCTACTAGGAACAAGTGCATCGCTACTAGTAGCAAGGGTCTTACTAGTAGTAACAAGAAGCTATTAGAAAAAAGAATTAGATGAACACCACAAAAAGCAGCGGGAGACCGGGGCCATGGAGACGTCCTCTTGGTGGATTTTTTTTCTGGGGCCATGGAGACGTACGTCCTGCCATTGTTGGAGGGTAGAGTGAATGGCCCTGGCCCTGGTCATGGCCCCCTGGGATTTGCAACCATCCACTGTACTGGTCACTACATTGACCCTTTGAAAACCCATCCCGGCCCCAATGTATGTAAATATGCCAATCCCATTATCACATTGCCACCCCAATATATGTTCTGAATATGCCAGTATAATGTCATGGAGTGTTTGGAAAATCGTTATTGGAGGACGTTTGAAGTCCTTGAGCCTCCAGTTGCCCCCACACCCAAAGACTTCGTTCGAGTCAGAAGTTCTTAATCAAAGACAAAATGAGGAATGATGATCACACTGCAAGCACTTCTGGTTGTCCGTGTGATTCTTCTCTTAGCACAGATTGGAGAGAGAAAGTGAAAGCACCAAGCAGACCATGTTGGATGGTTATGCCGCCCGTGCATGTTTTCCTCTAACTTCCTCTCCTTTTCAACAGGCCTGGAGGAGGCCACTCAAAACACTCCCCATGTTTGTGCCTGGCCCTGTCTCACCGATGCCATTTCAGTTGCAGCGCGTGCGTGCGCTTCAGGAAACGCTTCACCATGTCGCTACCAGCGGATATGTGGTCGCAAGTGCGATACTTCGCACCCAAAGAGGTGGCAAACCTCATGGGTTTTCCAAGGACTTGGAGCTTGCCAGGTGGGGTGGGGTTCAATATGGGATCAAACTGCTGTTTGAAGGGTTGAATCGTTCGGCCAAAGTTGTTTGGGGCGTGGAAATCAACAGTCACACAAGCTGGTGGAGCCAAGATACAGTATAGCATTAGAAAGATCATGGATGTATAGGAGGAGAAGCTGAGAGATGGAATCCTTTGAAACCTGGATCACTGACTTGGAAGCCTGGTAGAGACGGTTACCTGGGATGATTCCGTCCTGCGCCACGTAGGCAGGTATTTATTGTTTAATGCTGTAACTTAATTATTTTTTGCACGTGGACCTTCAAAGTGACCTGTTTGGAGTTTCTTCAGGGACTACGTGACCTCATCGGGATCTCAAAAGATCACGTTGAAGTTCGTGGTGCATGCAGTGTTCAGCTTTGGTTGAACTCTGATCTCCAGACTCCAGGTGACTTGCCATGCCGGACCCAGTGGCGCCTGCTGGGCAACTCGGTGAATGTCTCACTGGTCGCCCATCTGATGGACGAGCTACAGAGATGGATGCAAGATGACGAGCTAACCGGATCAGATGTAGTACTGTAGTACACTCTTGATTCAAAAACCTCTCATATGGGCCGGTTTATTAATCAAGAGTCTACATTAGGTGCTTTTATGTGACCTTCACTTTCCATTTTTCACATGTCGCAACCACGGAGCCAAAGAGAGCTCTTCGCGCGTAGATCAGAGATGCAGCCTCCAAAAAGCAGCCGACCTGCCGAGACGGTGGGTTTTTCACTGTCAAGTCACGAATGTGTTTCAGACGGTGTTTGAAAGAATCATTCCGAAGCACACTACGAGCTACGCAATCATTTTCAGTGAACGGCACGTTTCCGAACATTCCAACAGGTGCTGTTCCACTCCACGTCCACCGTGGCGAGAGTCTTCGCATCTACCACCCCTGGCCCACGCAGTTCACGAAGAGTCTTCGCAGTGGTTCACGTCAAGACGGGGAGGGCGGGCCCGGCCCCCAACTCTCGGGCGGAGTGGCTCGGCCAGCATCTCTCGGCAGGTCGAGGAGGTCATCCACGTGGAAAACCCGGACAACTACCTTCGCTACGCCATGAGGCGAGCCTGACCGGTCGCATGTGGAGTTGCAGAGCAGAAGAGCTGATCGTTGTGCGATCGCTGCACGCGTTCAATGCCCGGTAGAGACCACAGACCGCCCCAGGTGTTTTTTTTGTTGGAATGGAAGTGTCCCGAAGAGTTACACACATGTGTACCCCATGTATGACCGTATGACCCATGCATGCGAGTAACTATTGCATGCATGGTTTGGTTTGCGGGATGTTGATTAGTGCATGTTACTGCAAACCCATTTGTCCGGCAAACGGCAATCCAGGTCATAAACAGAGAGTGTAGATGTATGTAAAGCCCGGTGTTTTTCCTTCTTGAGCCAAGTCCAGTAAAAGGTCAAACGGTTCTCCGGGATAAGGGGATGAAGGCGACTCCTTTTCCGCCTTCTCCATTCGGGATCCACCTTTCCCCCCATTTGCACGATGCTCGTTTGAGGCTCATGAGTGCCACCATGCCACCTGTTGTTGAAAGAGGGCATTGGTAACATGAGAATGGCTTCTTTGGAAAGCATAGGACAATAGGACAATAGGAAAACAAAGACACAGGTCTTTTTGAGCATGTGTTTTCACTTCAGGGAGGGTAACCGTTACTTGCCCAGCTATTCCATGTCCCACCACCGGTCCAATGTTTTCCCAGGACTTAGATTAAATTTGTGTCCACATGTGGTTGGAGAACTGAAACAAACAGATCATCGCGGGTTCTCATTCTGTCATCTTCATGGTTCCACCGAGCAAACCGGGCCAGGCGTGAAAAGGTCCGGCAGGAGCTCCAGAGCAAACCGATGACTGGCACGGCCACTCGACCGATGCCACGAGTCGTATAGACTCGTTGGAGCGTGACCGGTGGTCGCAGTGTTGGCCTGGTATGACCGGTGACCGGCGACCCGCTGGTGGAGAATGAACAGAAACATCGCACTGCCGAGTGCCTGACTAGCGGATGCCGTTCTCGAACGGAGGAAGGACTTGGATTCTTCCCACTGAAAGAAGACGGATACTACCAGGTATGCTATCACTTGCGACTTCGAGAGTTCCGCCACTTCTTAGGATCCTGTGACTATTCATCGTGTTTTTGTTTGTTGTCCTGCTGTCCAGCTCCCCGTCTTGCAAGTCTTGCAGGTCTTAACATGGACCCTGAAGATCACCCCTCAGAGTCCGCCCCTTTTTTCACTCTACCGAGCGGTTTTGAGAGTCGTTGATCTTCAGGAATCGATCCAATGATCAATGAGCCAATGGACATCAATGGACCTCTAAGACCCTGAGGGTCAATCGCATTTGGAAACCAACACGTCCATGAATTCACTTCAACATACCACTCAACCAGAAACCCAACACCACGGACCCACACCAACAGACGTCCTGGGTGGCGAGCGAGCCCGGGACGTTTGGACCCGTTCGTGCGCTCAGGAGCTGGATGATGCCAACCCCATCAAGACGAAGCAGGTGTCCTTGAAGGCGAGCGGACCGGGCATCAAGCAAGGATATGTTAGAAACCAACTGAGATTGGGTCAGACTGTGTTGAAACACGGCTTTGCCACACCATGTAGTCGATACTGACGCTCTATAGGGCACAGGAAGGCTTTTGATCATTGGGATTGATCAAGTCAGTTTCATGTTGAACTGCAGTGCAGTTCAGAAGGCTTACTTTCACCTTCTTTCACAAGTGTTTTGGGACGGGCAATCCTCAACCGCAACTTGACGTGGAGATCGAGCTACACTTGATCATCTAATTGGTCCATACAGATCCCCAGCGAAGCGACAAAGTCCTGCCAAACTGACCCAGTCAGTGTCGTAACTCACTTCTGGGCTGACTTGGAACCCCACAGCTGCAGGGCCTGAGCTTTCATCCTGATGAGCCGATAGACGAAAAGCTTCAAGAGGTCTGGCTTTGGCACGGGAGCCTCGGGCGATTTTCTTGGATCAACGATGAAGAATCATGGAAGTTGAATTCAAACTTCAATGCAACATGTGGTTTTCATGTTAGCGATGCCCCGGCAAACAACAAATAAAAGTTTTCCAAGAAGCCATGTTCAGCCATGTTTGGACCGGAGCCTTCCTACACATTTGGACCGGAGCCATTCTTGAGGGGACCACTGACATGTGGGGCGACTCTACAAAGCTCATGATTCTTCGCAATAGAGATTGCTCCTCTGAAGAGGGGCTGGTGGAATGCAGTGGTTTGCAGCTGAATGAAGGTACGTATGGTTTGAGCGATTTCGGCACGGTTGCACCAGAAAATCGGAGATCAGAATGGAATTCCTGCTACCCGGACAGGGATGTTGCTTATAGTCTCTTATAGTGTTCAGTCTAGCTCAGCACTTGTTTTTTTTGTTTAAGCATTGTATTAAATATGATTCAGGATCGTTTGAAAGATGTTAAGAGATGTTGTTCTGATGCTAATTATATGGCCGATGTTTGCTTGTTTATCAGTCCATGGCGCTTGTTTTTGGTGCATCCAAAGACACCGACGATGGCCACCGGCGGCTTCTCGGACTCCGTGGACCGGATGCCCGAGGACCGGGAAGGAGGGCGCTGCGGGGATCACCGACACGGACTTCGACATGGGCCGTGCTGGCTCAGCCCCTTGGGAGCGTTGGGAAGACGAGCCGTCCGTCACTGCTGGGCACTGCTGGAGGCTGTTGGGAAGGTTGATTTCAATGACCAGAAAGACGGGTGTTGATACGTTTGATACAGTACGTTTGTGTACTGTATATATACATGTATATGTAGATATACGTACACTGTACACACATTAATGGCTTTAATATACACAGTAGACATATACTGGATATTGTAGATATTGGTATTCAGGCGCCATTCAACATTAATTGAACACACACATATATATATATATTTCATATACATATATATATATATATAGAGGTTCTGGCTCAAGGCTCAAGGTTTCGGCTCAAGCGGGTGACTGCGGCTGGCTCTTCGTGTGAACGAGCTGAAGGCCCAGAACTTCGAGACGGGAAAGGTCACCCTAAAGAATGAGGCGAAGCTATTCTGTCTGCACTGGCTGCAGTGGCAGCTGGATCTGGCAGGACAGGCTCATCAACAAGCCGGATCTCAAATGCCTGCAATGCAACAAGCCATGGCAGCAATCCAGGGTTCCTGACCTCAAAAGGCGCCAAGTCACATGGGCAGCTTGGAACTACCAGTCGAAAGGCCATCATTGGCCGAAGAAAACATACCAAGAAGCTCTTTTGGAGCCACCTCCGGGCCTGTACGGAGGACACCCGGCCAAGCGCGCCAAAAAGGTCAAGCAGACAGCCCTATGCAAAGCAGTACAGGAACACTGGGATTCCTTGCCGGAAGCCATGAAACATCAGTGTGAAGCCCTCGGTGTCCCGCCATCGACACCACCTGATCTTCCGAGCTTGATCAAGGAGCATCTTCAGAGCCTGCCACAGGATCTGAAAGCAGCCGTTGAGAAGATTGTTGTTCCAGACAAACCGGAACCGACTTTGGCAACCAAGTTGAAACAGTCGGTTGGGGCATTACGCCAATTGACTGACAAAAAGGCCGCCATCCAGTCGAAGGCTGATGCAGTGAAGGCACAGTACACTGCATTGCTTCAAGAGCTCAAAGAGCTTCAAAGCAAGATTGAGAGTGCTCAAAAAGACCTCCAACAAGCCACCACGCTCTACAACAAGCAGTTGGAAGAAGACAAGCAGGCCACAGCCGAAAGCAATGTCGATCCAGACGAATTGACTCCAGAGAATCTGATGGCCATTATGGCCAGTGTCGGTGTACAGGCCACCTCGACACAGATTCAAGACTTTGCACACAAGCTTGTTGAGAATGTGTCAAAAAGACGGAAGTGCGGGTAACCCTGCAACGCAGTTTTTCATGATCAGAGAAAGCGCTCAGACACTTTGCACACATCATGGGGGAAATGATGCCAGCATGGAGTCTGATGGGGAAGATTTTGGCTCAGGCGATCAAAGGGACCAGATGGCCGAGCCTGGGGCAGCAACACCTTGCTCCAATGAGGTGATGCTTGAGGATGGCTGCAGCTATCCGAGTTTTTGTGGAGGCGCTGGAACCCAGGCGGAGAACCTGGACAATGAAGCGCCTATGGAAGTTGACCAACATGGGGAAGATAGGCAGGTGGCCCAGTGCCCTCTGGACTACGTGCTCCAAAATTTGCATTGCCGCCTTGGCAATCCTCGAAACAGATGCTATGCTAATGCTCCTTTCCGCCTCTGGGCCTGGTCAGGAAGTTTCTTGGCTGGACCAAAGATGTGGAACCACACCGCCACGGCAGTACAGGCTGCTCTGGCTGATGAAGAGATAGTTCAGTTGCCGCAGCTTCAACCTTTGAAGCCTTTGTGGCAAAAATTTGACGAGAATGCCCAAGATGATGCAGCCCACTTCCTTCTTGAGTTGAAGGACTTGGCAAAACCCCAACAGGTGATCACGCAGTACTACCACGTTGACCATCGACAGGAGGTGCATCAGAGGAAAGAATTTCCTATGCACTTGATCTTTGAAGACAAAGGTCACCCACAAGAATTTGAAGAGCTCATCAACAACTGGGCAAATCAAGCAGAAGGCCAAGTGTTAGCCGGCAGAGGGCTTTGGGTGGCCCAAATTGGCAGGTACACTTTCCAACACTTGGAGTGGACCAAACATCATCAGGTGTTGCATGTACCTTCGGTTTTCAATCTGCCGTACACTCTAGATGGCAACAAGATACAGACAGAACAGTATTCCTTGATTGGCCTGTTGTGTCATTCTGGCACAGCCCACAAAAGTGGACATTTCTTTGCAGTTTTTGCCTACCGTGGACTTTACTGGATTGTTGATGACGGATCCTATCCCAGACCGGTGGCACGCTTGCAAGACAGCCTTTTGACACAAATAGTTCAGATTTGTGCCATTCCTTCCGACATGGTGTTGCCGGAGCACATCCCATCTGACATTCTGGCCAGCCAGACGGAGCTGAGTGAAGTGCAGGCGAACAAACGCCATTGTACTCATGGTGTTGGCTTTTCTTTTGCAAATGTCACGACTCTTGGCCACTCAGTGCGGCAATGGTTGCTTGGCAGAGAACGAACGCCAATCTTCCTGGCGGAAACACATTTGAGCCCGGAAGACCATGACAAAACACTGCAATGGTTTGCTACCAGAGGATACGGCATCATTGGGGAAGCCGCAGCGGTAAGCCCCAAAGGAGGCACAAATGGAGGCCTTTTGCTGGTCTTTCCAGCGAATCTGCACTTCCACTTCGTGCAAAAGCAGATCATTGACGGATGTGGGTGGTTTGCAGTACACTGGACATTCGAAAACTTTGATCTCATCTTGGTCATGGTATATTTTAAGTGTGGAGAAGGCCTGCAAGGAGCCACAAATTCTTTGCTGTGGTCCGGGCTCCTCACCTTTGTCACCAGTCTTGCCAAGCCGGTGATAGTGTTTGGAGATTTCAACATCACACCAGAGGAATTCATGGCCACCACGATGGGCACCATCATGCAGGTGCAAGTCTTAGCAACAGGCGAGGAAACCTGTGCCACAGGAAGGGAACTGGATTGGGCCTTGGTGACCACTGCTCTTCTCCCTGAAGCCCGCATAGAAGCCAACTGGCTGGTCCCATTCAAACCGCATGCACAGATCAACCTGCACCTGGCCAAAGATCTACATCAAGTGACGGTCACACAGATACAGCGACATCAGCCTGCGCCCAAACTGGAGAAAATCAGCATGGAATGGACACAACTTGCTGAGATTGACCTTCCTGTGAAATGGCTTGGTATGCCAACCAACCAGCTCACGCAACAGGCAGGACAGCTGTATCACAAGATTGAGCGCTATGTTCTGCAACAGCATACAACTCCCAGTTATGGCCGTGGCACTACTTTGAACTACGTTCAAAAACCGCTGAATGATCCTAGCAAACCATGGTTGTGGAAGAAAGGGTCACTGGCCTACTGGTCCCAGCTGGAAATCAGATTGCAACAGCACATGCATCGGATGAACTCAGAAGACAGACAGATGCAGCATCTAGAACGCCTTGGTTGGCATGTTGATCGCAACTGGCATCCGGAAAGCAACATGACGCTTGAAGGTTTCAAACTCCTTTTCCAGATGCTGTGGAAGAGTCATGATGTTGAGCACATTCAAGTCCTTCTACAAGCCGTCAAGCAGCAATGGGAGCTTCACCAAAAACAGGTGTTTGACACAGAAACACAAGAGTACAGAAGCTGGATGCAAGCTGCCTCGCTATCAGGCTGCCGGGGTCTCTTCAGAACCCTCAAAAAAGATGAACTGCCTTATGCGAGACCCTTTCAAGACTTCCCGCGTACAGAAAGGATGCAGCACAGACTCCAACAATGGGGGGAAATCTGGCAGACGCGAGAGCAGCAACTTGAACCCAAAACGATCCAAGCGCTCATCTACAAGGGTCAAGACTATGCACGTGAGACGCTCCAGCCACTGCATGTGCATCAAGTGTGGAAAGTGATCAAACGCCTCAGCCACAAAGCGCCTGGCCTTGATGGAGTTGGATATGATTTCTTCAAAGAGCTTCCTTATCAAGCCATCCCGGACTTGATACAGTTTTTCCATGAGATAGAGGCCACGGCGAGCATCCCAAATCAATGGACCTCTTCCTTGATTGCAATGCTGCCCAAAAACAAGGACATTGAGAGGCCGATTGCATTAGTTGCCTCCTTGTACAGGTTATGGTGCAAGGTCAGAGCTCCGTACACAAAGCAATGGCAGCAAGAGATCCAAGATGTGTACAAATGGGAACGAGCAGTTCCTGGCACAGAATGCCTCAAAGTAGCGCTGAAACGTGCTTTCATGACCGAGCACCATCATGCCCTCAAGCGCACAGTTGTCTCAGTGCTCATGGATATGTCAAATTTCTATGACAGAATTGACCTGGAGAAGCTCACAGAGCGTTGGCTTGACTCAGACTACCCGGCCACACATGCTGCCCTGGCCATGCAGATCTACTGTGGTAGTCGGATCATTGAAGCTGAAGGAGAAGCATCCAAGATGATTTGGACCAGCAATGGTATCTTGGCAGGGGATCCACAAGCACCTTTGGCTGCAAAAATTTACCTCAAAGAAGCCTTGCATGCTTTCTGCAAGCGATTCCCTCAACTACAGGTTGATCTTTGGATTGATGATCTGAGTTTCGACATTGTTGATCGTGATCCTGCAAATGCTGTCAGATTGGCCATTGCAGCGTTTCAGTATATCAAAGGTCTCTTGGAGGCGGACAATTTGAAAGTGTCAGACAAAAAGACGGGCTTCATCACCTCGAATGCCACGGCAAAGAAACTTCTCCTTGAACAGCTGCCAAAAAATGGACCAGGTGTACATGATGTGATGCGAGACCTTGGTGTAGATTGCACAGCAGGTCGCTTGAGACGCATAGCCACGATGAAATCTCGAAGATTCAAAGCAAACAAAAAGACTCAAAAGATGAAGGCCTTGAAGATCCCACAAAGAGCAATTCGCTTAAGATTGTACAAGGGCAGTATCCTGGCCAGCATCAGCTGGGGACATGAGGCAATGGGCCTGGCTCCACAGGTCCGAAAACGCATCAGAGCCACCATGGGGC